GCGACTACATGAACACGGTCTTCGCATTCGAAGCCGCAATCACATTTGAACTCGTCGTCTTCCTCGTCTACCGTCCTATGTCTTCGTCGACGTTCTCGAAGGCCTATGTCCCCGGTCCTGAATTTGACCTTAAGCTTTGTTCCAGCATCCATTGGTCCATGAAGGTACTCCTTGAACTATCTGTTCCTTCTTTCAACATTCCGTACACTTCTATACCCTCCTTATCCTCGGTTTCTTTCCTTAGATTCTGTTTTTCTCGCTCGGCACAAGCAACAGTTATCTTCTCCTTGTACCTCTTTAGACCCTCCGTTTCCAGCGTTTCATCTCCGTCGATGTCGAGCCCCTTCCATACGTCCTCTACAACCTTGACCCATTCCGTGGGTTGTCTACCCCTCTTTTTGTTTGCCCACTTCGCCTCCCATACAATTCTCGGCAACCTCTCCTCTCCCATCCCGCACATGCGATACTGCCAGGTCAGCTTCCTCGCGTCTCTTCCCGACCGTAGGGATTGGATCCCCAATTCTGCCCTCACGGCTGCATTACTTGTGCGCCTGGAGCATCATAGGATTATTTTCGCTGCTTTCATCTGCGCCGCCTCGAGTTCTTTCACTACCTTCTTATTTCCTTCCCATACTTTGGCGTACTCTAGCGGCGATACGATTACGCTTTTCAAAACCTTCAATTTGATGCGTGTTGTATCGAGGTGCCGGTTTGCGAGTATTGGGTGCAGCTTCCCTGCTCGTGCTTTGCCCTTTTCCGCTACCTTGGACATGTGTGCATTCCACGAGCAGTCTTTTGCGATCTCTACTCCAAGGTATGTGTACTGGTCCACTACTGCAATCTCCTCGATCCCCCACTTCCATCTATGTTCAGCTGGTTCCTCCCTGTTCTCGTTTGCATACCATGACGGCACTCTGCTTTACGTTGGCAGGCAATCTCCACTTATCAGTCAAGTTCTTCGCCTCGTCAATTTGCAGTTGCAGTCCCTCAGGGGTGTCCGACATACCGACAAAATCATCCGCAAACAGCATTCCTGAAACCGACGTTTCCGTGTCCCCTACTTTTACTCCCTTCCGGACTGCCTCTACGACTTCCAACAGATCGTTGATGAACACCTGGAACAATGTTGGGGACAGCGTGCAACCTTGTGGGACCCCCTGCTCAATGTCGAAGAATTTTGACAGTTCTCCGGCTAACTTGACCGCGCTTTTCGTACACTCTGTCATGTTCTTCAGCCCTCTCCACATTTTCCCCTTGATCCCGTATTTGGACAATTGTTTCCACAGNCTCCGTCTAGCATGACCGCGCTTTTCGTGCACTCTGTCATCTTCTTCAGCACTCTCCACATTTTCCCCTTGATCCCGTATTTGGACAGTTGTTTCCACAACCCATTTCTCCATACGGTGTCGTATGCCTTTTTCACGTCCAGGAAGAAGCAGTACGTCGGCTTTCCCGCCCTCTTTCTACCTTGGATGATTCTCCCTACCGTGAACACGTGGTCTACGCACCCCCTCTTCTTGCGGAAACCTGCCTGGCCCTCACTAATGCTATGTTCCTTTCTCCAATACTCTATCCTATCGTTCAGCAGCTTACAGAACACTTTTCCTACTGTGTTCAACAGAGTGATCCCCCTGTGGTTTCCTGGGTCATTCTTGTCTCCTTTCTTGAACAAGTTCACAACCACTCCTTCCCTCCTTGTACTTGGCGCATAGACTACTCGTTTTTTCACACCCGATTGTACAGCAGTACCATCAGCTGGATCATCCCCTTCCCCCCAAACTTCATGAACTCGCTGACTATCCCATCCGCTCCTGCTGCTTTGTGGCACTTCAGCTTGTTCACACACGCCTCAACCTCGTCCTCAGTGAACTCCTTTTCTAGTTCCACGTTCCCAACGTCTGCCTTCGATGTCTCTTCATCTTTTTGGGTCCATGCGTCCACCTCCTTCTTAAACACTTGGTCAAAAGCTTCATTCTCCGAGGGCACTCCAAGTGGTGGACGTGGCGAAATCGTGTTTTTGATTACTCCCGTTTATTTGCTCGTGTGCTCGTGTGACTTTGGGTCGTTCGCACCCGGGCACTTGTTTGGTGGGGAGGGTGCTCGATGCTGAATCTTGTGGGACGACGTGCCTCTTTACGGCAGTAGTAGTATTTAGCTGCGTTCCGTCCAAATCGAAACCCGTTCGGGCCTTGAAGACTGACTGACAACAGTACTTAATGATGTTGGGACGTTTTTCTTTCCGAATCTGAGGTTCAGGGCGTTGGATGGCCAGTCGACGGTGTATGTACTACTGCATTTATCGCTCTATTCTTTGAGTGCACGCCCTCCAATTTTTCCTGGCTTTCCCTCTGCTTGGTAAACGTCGACGGCACAGCAGAGCACATTCAAAACCTTGTAGTAATTCGAGAGTTCCGCATTGCGTATGTCTCTGTGCTGATTGTTGGGAACCTCTCGACAGGCCGGCCTTGTGTGATCGTAGCTTGCTTCTTCCGCGCCCGTTCACGACATCGCCTGTTCCTGCGGTCGGGGTGATACCGTGAGCAATGTTCTCATCGTCTGGTTTCGTGTCCTGTGTTCATTGTGTTCTCATCGAACATGTCAACTTGCTGCACTCGTTTGGCACGCGGGGCAGAAATGAGCCAGGCGGATCGAAAACGGTCACGCTCGCCGAAGAAGGCCGTCAGGCGGAAAGCCAGACGACAGGTACGCATGCACACCGCTTTGAGGGAAAAAATCGGGTGGCCTGCGTATGCTGCCTTTTTTTATTCAAACTGAGAGTGACATGCGTGTCTGTGCTGAAGAGGTTGTTCTTAGCGTTTCGGATGTGCTCGAAAACCGTCCATTGCTGTCTATTTATTCCCCACAAGGCCTCTCTCTTCGAACCCTGAGGGTGTTGCTTGACTCAATAGCTGGTGATGAGGTCCTATGTACGGTTTTCCGGTTGCAATATTGCCCCGGTGGTCAAGTGGGTAACCTCGCAACCTGTCAAGGGCCGGGTCATGGGTTCGAGTCAGAGTGAGTTTTTTTCTCACTAAATCCTGGTCTAGGATGAAAGCGACGCGCTGCAAAGCTCGTTTTTAGTACAGTTGATCGACTTCATAAGTCGCGAGGGAAGGGATTGCTGTACCCTTCTCGCGATAAAAATACCTCAGGCAGGAACCGCAGGAGGGGGTCCAGCCCCTCCCTCCTATGTGACCCCGGTTGGGTCGTCTAGCTAGTAGAAGTGGAGGACAGGGGCCAGAGGGGCAGACGACAGAAACCAATGATGGCAGAAAAAACAAAACAAATGGTACACACCAAGTTACCCGGCAATGACGGTTTTACCACCGTAGACGCAAATGCAGCCTGCCTCCACGCCATCATGCATGTACGATGGCACCTTGCAGTAGAAGGCCGTAAATTTGAATATTGTACATCTGCCGCAAGCCTCCTTAAAATAAACAATTGAACGGGCGTTTTGGGTTGATTCTTAAGCAAGTTTTTTTCTTGCCGTTGAGGCCAAGATACACCGCGAGTTTCTTAAGCCGCATGCCGCATGCTGTTGATCAAATCAAGTGGTGCATAGCTGTAAACAATTATGGCATGCTGAGTTTCTTAGCGCGATCCATGCGTGAATGGTGCCGTCCATCGACAGGCGGAATTTCCAAGGTGCCAAGAACGTCACCACCGCCACAGGTATTCCACTTGCTGCACGCGCGGTGTACAATCCACTTGTTGACAACACCACCAGGATCTCTGGTATGCGAGCAGGAAGCACCTTCCTTGTGTGTGCTGTTTTTCTTGGGCCAAACCGAGTCGGTTTGCTCCACACCGTGCATGCGGCGTACCGGCACCCGTGTCGATGCTATGTTGCTTGCCTGCAACGCGGAAGTCGCCAAGCGACTGTTTTCTGTTGGCAGCAGTCGGGCAGATGGCCTTTTTTTAACTATTTACGTTTGAGGACAGATTGGTCGTTGTACGACGCGCACCGGTTGCAGTTGTTCTGAACGCCCGTGAGTCGCGTTTTGGATCTTGTTGTTGATGCTATCAACGCACATGTAGACTTACTGACAACGAGTCAGACTGCCCTTGCAAACCTGAGCCGCCCAACGTCCCCAGTTTGATCTCTCATGAGGACCCTCACGACCAGTTGCCATATGGTTGTAGAAGCCTTTGGGTACGCTCATGTATTCATGCAGTGTTAAGGTCAAGATGCATATTCTGATTGGCTGAGGTATCCCTCGCCTGGTTCTGACGTTCTTTTCGCAGGGGGCGAGGAATCAAGTGGGCGGGAATTCAGCACCTTTGCGATGTTCTTCAGTCAGCTTCAGGAATCCGTGAGCACAGACACTCTTCCAAGGTCGATTTGAGAATCAGAGTTAGAACCTTTAGCGTTCGAAACGGTTTCACCAACAATATTCTGAAGGAAAGGCATGCATCTCAGAAGGAAAACGAAGGCCCGAGACAGAGTAAGGGGATAAATGTCGTCCTGTGTGACCCTGCTCTGGTAGCGTAGCAGACGTCAGGCGCTCACTGCCTGCTGCGGTACGACGAATCGATACACGTGATGACGTGGGGGAAACGTGTGTACCGCTGGGTGCTTTGGGTCTTGTATGTATTTCCAAGCTCCCCTCTTCGTGCCGAGGAAATCTCGTCGCTTCTGACTCCCAATCCCAGAGAAGAATTGGACGTGCGTTCGTTGGTGCCATTCCCCCCTTCTAATCATGCTGATTAATACTGCTGCTAACCCTCTGTGATTTCTTGTGTCTGCCCTGCAGGTGACAGCGAGTGTCAAGTCGGCAGGGAACGGCATGGAAGGAGATGCCAAGACACAAGCAAGAAAGCCGCTCAACTGAGGGTATGAGCCAACGACAGGGCGCCCTGCCTCGGAGAGTTGTGTTGTTCTAGGCGCTTGATTCCCAGCTTTCGAAATCGTTGGGGCCGAGGTAGAGGAGACATTTACGTTGTTTTGATCTTGAGCTTCTTCTCTCTGTGTGTACGGGGGGGGGGTTCCATGCCATCTGTGGTCAGGTCCATTATTGCTGTCACAGCCAACGGGCGGGTATCTGTGAATACTGTACATGTTTCATACCATCATATGTGATTGCGGCAGCGGCGGCCGTTTTCCTTGTCCTGGCCGTGCGCCCACAGGTCGAGGCACGCCTCCGGCGGGGTCAACATGGGTCATATCCCAGCGGCACGTTTTGGCGCACCGTTTGAAGTCAGGAACCGTGTATCGCTTGACAGACATGTTGCTAGCGTGAAGGGGATCGACATTCACGGAAGCTGGACATCGGGTCGGCGATGGTACCTTGATCAATACTAGAAGTAGTTGTCTACCCCGAGGCGCCAGGCACGTGACGGGTTTTCCATTGACTTCGTCCTTCATGTCTTTGAGGTGGGCAGCCGTGTAGCCTTGCTTGCGGCAGACGTGGAATCCTTCAGCAAGGTGGACGAAGAGGACGTGAAGCCGGTGTTCGATTCCATAGAGTTCGTTACGTGCACCGTTGGCTTCGTTCCGGTGACACTTGAAGCACTCCGTGGGTTCTTCCTAGCCTCCAGGCCTCGGGTTCTGGGATACATGATCCCGTACGAAACTAGTCAGGCGCAGATCCCGACGCCTTCCAGTTTCGACCAACCGACGCCGTGTGTGTCGACGCCGTGTTTGTGGTTTATTTCCTTTAAGCTGCCCATCCAACACTATCTCCAAATTGATTCCACTTTTTTTTTCCGCTGCAACGTACCGCAGGAGGGGAGGGTAGAGAGAGGCTCTTCTGTGTGACCACGGGTTAGAGTAAACGACACTAGTGCTGTGAGCGCTGATTTGAAGTGAAGACAAAAAAAAAGAAGCTGTCGATGTCTAGTTATACTAGCCGAACGACTGAGTACGCTTTGTTTGTCCGAGCTTTGACATGTGCACTTTTTTGCAAGGTGAATGCTATTTATTCTTAGAAGTCAGTCGGTACGGTCACTCATTTCTTAATAGGAAGTTTGGAGCATCCGATCCGCGCTTTCCAGCACCCTTTATGTTTCGGTATATGAAATGCCGAAATTCAGCAACACACAAAATCTACCCATTTCACATGAACGTTTGCCTCCCCCTCAACAGCCCGTTATACACGCCAAGAAGTGTGCGCGCGTGTCCACTTCGTGGACTCCATTCGGGGGCATCCCTTCGCACCCCTTGGGTGTCGCAACAGACTACCGCACGTACGTGAGCAAGAGCAATGACAACTAGACCAACAGGACGGCCATTCAACAACGTCGACAACAAGCGTCTTGCGGAACGCTTCTCTCAGCTCGGCGGCGTAAGCCGCCAAAAAGGCTTTGACATGTATTCTTCTCTAGTGACGGGCAGCGTATTCGGTGGTTCCGACCACGCTCGGTCTACGTGGGCGAGGACACACATATGCGATCAAATGTAACGGTCCGAAGGTACCACCCAAGGCTGGCAAAAATGAGTCCTGTTGATTACTGCTTCGCTCATTCTGGTCACGCAGACATGACGAAAAAAAATCCACCAGAACTTGACGGTGCGCATCATGCTTCCACTACAGCGACGTCCAACTGTTGCTTGTGTCGTTGATCACGCCTCCAATACACGCAGTACTTCACGCCCCTACATGGCAATCAACCTTCACAAGTCGGTCTCTGCTGACTTGCACACCGGAGCAGAACAGAACGCCAAGGGTACGTGAAGGTTACGTCCACTCAGGCAAACCGCCCTGCCATTTCTCGCTGGAGAGACAAGATGCGCTTGCCCCGCCCCCTCGCTATGCTCTCGATTCCACGGTGCTTGGCAAGGGCGTCGAACATGGCGTAGATCATGGAGTACTTGTTGCGCCTTCCGATGATCTTGCACTGCAGAAGGAGTGGAGGGTTGGGCGGAGAGTGAGCCATAGGCCTCATAAACGCGGGTTTGTGAAAAGCTCTCTGAGGTGCATCTCGGCAGAAACGTGAAACGCGATGAGACAAGCTTAGAGCTACAACAACGGACATACAGAGCACACCAATTGTATGCTCTCGATCACGAAACTAGCCATATTGTCGCCTTGGCAAAGACTGGCGGCCTGCAAGCCAAACCCACAACACATCACCGAACCGACAACGGCGCCCCTTCCAACGGTAGACTCCGGAATGACTGAAACAGCACACACACCCAACATAACTTACCGCGCCATCCGTGATGCCCATATTGTACAAGATGTCCCGCGACAGCTTGCCCGCTCTCATGCCAGACCCTGGTGGCCTCGACCAGATGTACACCTACGACATCCCCCCCCCGAAAAAACGACATGGAACGTTTCGTACATAGTGTCACAGACAGGCGTGACAATGCATGGGTCAAGAGAGCGACGGTCGACCGCCCTCGTACACCCAACGCGGTAACCAACAAGCCTTCTGGCATCTTCGAACACCGTGATCGACGATGTAGAGCACCCCGACGTTACGCTCGGCAACATGTGGTAGCGAACCATAG